CGAATCCTCCACAATCCTCAAATTGCCAATTCCTAAAAGGCCGGTAACGCACTTTAGACTAGTAGTAAAAGTATTATGCGAGTTATGCCAAAAATAATAAAAAAGTATTTAATTTCCCTAACAAGTTCGCACTCTATGCTTTAATAAAACTGCAACGTTTATAACAGTTGAATAAATTAATTTTCACAAGAAAACTGTTAAAATGATATTCGCTGAACTGGGCCAAAAGCCGTCATAACCAAATGTGTAGCCTGTGGAAACAAGTTCATCCAATTCAGAAGATCTTGCGCTTACTGCACAGAGCCGCATTGTTGTGTACATTTTGACGCAAAACCGTTCTGGGCTTTTGGTCGAGTGACGTCATTGGACTGTACTGCAGGTGACTTGAAAATAAGTTGTAACACCTGAGTTTAACATAACATCACACCTTTTACCCCTTAAGCGGTAGGCAGAGGTAAACTTTTTTTAAGGGGGAAAATCATCGAATGACTGCTCCCGCCTGGGTGAGGCGGGAGGGAGTGTCAGACTCTTACTGACTAAAAACCACCCTGTTCCTTCTCCTGCACGTCGAGCCGGAGCCCCGGTTACCCGTTAGGTTCTCCGCGAGAGGTACGCTTAATGCCACTGTACAATGTAACACCCACTTTTCACTATTTATGTTTTGAATCCCATGTAATAGGGGGTGATCCTATTGCCTTAGTTTTATGTTACAAAATGTTTACTTTATAACTATTTTGTAGCAATCGGACCTGAGACTTAAATAACTCGATTCATAAATTTTTGTTTCTACTACCTCATTGGCCGAGTGGTCGCAAGTGCGACTGCCGGACAAGGGGTCTCGGCTTCGATTCCCGGGTCGGAGAAAATATTACTGGGTCTGGAAATGTGCCCGATTTATGAAAATAGGCTCACTCCCTATTGTACAGTGGTACTAAGTGCCGTAATTTGCACCTCTGCTTATCCCTTCAGGGATAAAGGCGTGATGTTATGTTATGTCGTTTTGGATCCGGGTATCATGTGCATGCACAGAAGAAAATCCTAACTTAAGCCAAAGAAACCAAGAAAGCTCCAAAAACTACAACAAATAAAAGTAGGTACGTCTCAATACATAGGTACAGAGTTTATACACTACATTATCAAGATAGATGAGGCCGGTAGCTGTCAATTTGGCAGCTAAACGTCAATCTGACAGCCGGGAAAAGACTGGCCAGCGATCCCTTTTCAATTACTAGCGTAAAATCGCCTTTTTTCTGTGAGCACTGACAGCTAACTGGGGCCTGATGAAAGGCGAACTTTTCAGGAGATAGTTGGAATTTTCCTTAACATACTCACTTAATATAAGTAGGCCATTTTTATTTTCTATTTCCGATAAGACATGTAGGTATGCAGGAACTATTTTATTTTTATCTATTTTTTGTTAGGCGCCTTTGAAGGTACAAATGATATACCTACCTATTGTAATGTCGTAAGGTAACAAACAATATTATTAGGTTTATAGTTTAAAAATCAATTTTATTGTGGGAGAGCCATGCTTCGGCATGAATGGGCCGGCTCGACCGGAGTGATACCACGGCCTCACAGAAAACTGACGTGAAGCAACGCTTGCGTTGTGTTTCGTCGTGTGAGTGAGGTTACCGGAGGCCCAATTACCCTCCCCTTCCCCATTCTCCCCAATTCCTGAATCCCCAACGATCCTCAAACTCCTAATCTCCCAAAGGCTGGTAACGCACTTGTAACGCCTCTGGTGTTCCAGGTGTCCATGGGCGACACCGATTGCTTACCATCAGGTGATCCGTCTGCTCGTTTCTCGGCTTATGACATTAAAATAATTAAGGTTCAATAACTTTGTCACAATTATCAAGTCGTTCTAATTACATTTTATTTTCTTAAAAATATTTGATTTTCTTAAAAATATTTTTTTTCTTAAAAACATAAGTTTCCACCTGTTTTCTAATAATACAGTTATACATATACTACCACTGATGAATGCATATTCTACTAAGATTTCTTAATACTATATTGTCAAAATTTTAATGCACAAAGTTACACAAACATGTACAAATGCAAACAAGAATTCTCTCAAAACTCCTAATGACTTCATCATCATCATCAACAACAGCCTATAATAAGTGGCCACTGCTGACCAAAGGCCTCTTCTCGCACGGAGGTTTCAGCATGAATCACCACGCTTGCTCAATGCGAGTTGACGATTTCAAACCTAAAATTAGAAATTATAAGCCCACGTTTCCTTACGTTGTTTTCCTGCACCGTTTGTTAAGAGGTATCTAGATAATCTTAAAAAGTACATATAACTCGAAAAAGTCATATTGGTACTTCTCGTTGGTAGGTTTTAGAAGCTGCACTCTCAAGCATGAGGTCTTAAACCTCCATGACATTTAGTGGCTTACTGAAAAAATATAAAAAAGCAAAGCATATTAAACATACACTACTGCACATAATAACTTTTCATCCAGATCTCATCCACCTACGAAGTAGGAACCAATGTTCGAGATCTTAGCATAGTTATGATAGAGCTCAATGAATAATGCATGGCCCACCAGTAAACCTCGGTAGACAGTGGACTAAAATGTCTCTATCTTGTACCCAAAACCATTTGGACTGATGTTATTCTCTGGGTCGACAACATTTTGAGTTCGTTTCCTAAAAACGTATTTAACTGGAATTTCAAATTCCAAAGAATTTTGTACCTTAGTAGAGTTGGGATTGTTCAAAGTAATTAATAGTTTATTTCTGGAAAAATGCAAAAACAACGGTTACGTCCCTATTATTTTATTTTTACGCATAATTAAGAGAAGCATGGCAAAGTTAGATTTCTTCTAGTATAATTAGGTAATTATAGAAAAATATCTGGCAACTATTTAACAGTTCATAACAAAATTACTTTTTTTTAAGCATATCAAGAGAAGCAAAAAACGTTGGAATTGTTCTAGAATAATTAGGAAATTAAAGAAAAATCTTACGGCTCATAACAATATTACTTTAATTATGAATTAATTAGTTAAATCAACACAAAAACTAATCTTAACCTAGAAGAAACCAAGGATTCCTAAAAACAACATAGTCTCAAATTAGTCTAGACTAGATTAATAAGAGTCTCACAGAACTAACACATTTAAAATATTTTTACTTACAATAATATTGTACGACGCCATTTTGTTCCAAAACCGTTTAAATTCAAAGATCTATGGATTTTATAATAACTATCGTGAGACATACTAAATTAACTAAAAATGAAGCTTTAGGCTGCGCGACATCGTTGCGACCGCGCACGCTGCTCATGAGGAAGAACCCCTCTGTGGTTCGAAACTAGTAGAGCTTTTCTCAGTATATTCACGTGAGTAACCCGTGATTTTTAGTTAATTAAGATCTATGGAGTTGAGTATATAGACCATAGCATATCCACCGACCTCTTTAAGTCAAATTCTATTATTAAATTTTTAACCTTACTGTTTTGATATAAAGTGGAAAGTACAATGAATAAAAGTATAGATTGGAGTACCTCCGAAATTGACGAGTACCTCCCAAATTACCTTACTGGTCTCAATTTATATTTTCTTATTCCATTCCTTTGAAATATTGCCTTACTTGTAAATCAATCTCTTTGGAAATTGTTAATCAAAATATTATATTACTTTGCCGCATCACATGATACTTACGAAGTTTGAAATTTGTTTTTATTTTTTCCATGAATTTATTTTACGTACTTACGTTTGTTTTTCTTATTAACCTTTTTAGGGATTCTACGTCTAGAATATTCAAAAACATAACTTCGAAGACAAATTAGTTATTCCTTCCATTTAAATAAGTCATCGGAGATTAGATACTAAAAAAAATATGTTCTACAATTAATCTAAGAATATATGGTCTCTCTGTCTAAGATGTACCTATAATAAAATTGACATTTGACAGTTTTTAGTACGGAAGAATTGTCAATTTTTTTAAGTTATTCATCAGTTAAAATGCATCTGTCATTGAAAAAAATCGTACGTAAGTGGATTATTCATAAACTAACAGTACCTTTACGTGAGCAACCCGCGATTTTTAGTTAATTTAGTATGTCTCACGACAGTTATTATAAAAACATGTGTCTTTAACTCCACATATTTCGATTAGTGTGCAAGAAGTGTGAAATACAGGCGAATGTGTGGCTGTTAGTTTTGCAGACGACGTTCGCAGGTGTACTCGACTAATATAAATGTAAATTCTCCAAAGAAACCCTGCCGAGCCGTTGTGTATGTGTGCTATCGCCAATTGTACCAAAAACTTATTATATGTTACTTATTTTTATAAAAAACTAGAGACCCGCCCCGGCTTCGCAAGGGTGCAATATGCAAAATGTATTATACATATAAAAACCTTCCTAATAATCACTATATCTATTGAAAAAAACCGCATCAAAATCCGTTGCCTAGTTTTAAAGATCTAAGCATACATAGGAACAGCCAGACAGCGGATAGCTACTTTGTTTTATACTATGTAGTGATATATTTACCAATACACATGTCACATCACAGTGTACACATACATATTTCATGTTGTTTTTTGTTGCCTCTTTCAACTTTATCTACTAAACAATTAATTATGAAACTTAATATTATATTATTGTAAACAAACTTCGCAGACTGGAGACGTGAATGTTATACTAATTTTTAAGCCAAAAGTTTCCAGCAAACAATGTCCAAATGAACTTAAAAATGTCTGTCCGGGTATATGAACACCTAAACAAGTATTGAAACACCGCATAAAACAAATCTAACATAAAAAAAATCTGTGGTAGCAGGGAGTCTGAAATTGTACCCGGTATATGGCAATAGGCTCATCCCCTATTACCTACATGGGACTCATAAGATAAATAGAGATAAGTGGGTGTTACTTCTGTATGCACCTCTGCGTACCCCTTCGGGGATAAAAGGTACAGTCATTCGAAAGTCAAATTATGTCATACAATAAAAAATATTGTTAACATTGTAGAACATAATTTAATTCACACATATCGCATGTGCAAGCATACACTGAAAAAGAATAACGATTTATTCTTATAAAGTGATTCAAAAAACTCATGTCAAAAAGTTAATCTGACCGTTATCTCTGCTGACAGCAGTAATATGTATTATGCTTGTTGCCCATCACAACTAAGTAAACGATGTATATAATCTACTAGGCATATAGAAATATGCTGTATCGGAGCAATGAAACGAAACAAGAATTTTATTGTAAACCTTATTGAAAAGGAGTTTCTTGCTCGTTCTTCTCCATAGGAATCTACACTTTGTACCATTAAGTCTTTGTAAAAGAAATGGATTGGTTGCTTATTACGTAAAACTCATAACATAGGAGTGACAACTAATAACTCAACTAGCTCAAAATGCCCAAGGGTTCTTCTTCAAATTCCTCAAAATCCTCAAATTCCTAACCCTCAAAAGTCCGATGACGCACTTGTAACGCCCCCTGTGTTTCGGGTGTCCAATGGCTACACTGATTGCATACCATCAGATGATCCGTCCGCTCGTTTACCGGTTTATGCCATAACAGAAAATATAATAAACTAAAATAGCAACTTCAAAGTTTTAATTTAATTTAAACAAGCGATAAAAAATTTATAAAACCTACAAAGATTGAAGCGAATATTCTATTATTTGAATTTTAAACAAAAACAAGAGATGAGCAAAAGCTATTGCCAGAGAAAAGGATTCAGTTAAGTGGAGAAAACTAATAATAGAAAGGAAAATAACATTTAAACGCTGTTTCTACTGCGATGGTAATTAAAAATAAACAGAGAGAACAGTTATGGTTGCCAGCTTCATGCAATATGACTAACTTATATTATAGTTCTTTTAAAACTTACCTCTTTAGATAAGGACCAAGTTGGTATGCGTACGCTAGCCATAAAATGCTTTTAAAAATATTTATTTTTTTAAGAACAGCCATTTACAAAGTAGTATGGTATTGAAAATGTGAATATCTTTAAAAACCACTGCACTAATTTGATAACTTTTCGTCACAATTTTTTTAGTTTTATGTAAGTAATGTATAAACACAAACAAAAACACGTGTTTAATTAAAAAGAATTTCACGCATCGGAAGTCTAAAAATTACGTTGTTTTTAAATTCCACAGTCAAGAGCCGGTGATGACTAGGATGAGCTTATCCTCGTCGTGACGTCACAGCTTCCAATTACCCAGTAGATCGAACACAAACACTCGGGCAAAACAAAACACGGTAAACATCCTACAGTTCCTAATATCCTGGTACATTTTTCAATATGGCTGAAGAATATTTCTTTTTTTTATGAAGCTCTACTAATTTCGTAATGAGTTTTTGGGAAAATTTATTTTGGGCATGCAATTTGGATGTGGATTCAGCTGTTTATATAATGACTTCAATTCTGTTTAAGAAAGTTGATTAATTTGTTTTCTATTGAAACTGAGTAGCAAAATAATGAACTCAAGTTTAAAGGTTATCCACTGTTTAAAAACATTTGTCCACTTTTTTCATGGCGTGATGGCAGTAAATAAAGAATACACTCTTTAAACTTCTTTAAATAAACTTTACTTACGGAGTGAACTCGATCAAGTTCCGTCATGCCATTGGTTGTAAAAATGATCTCGACCAATGACAGATGAGAATGCATACTACGAAAGACTGTAACTGTACTGTACTGGAATCAACAATAACGAAATAGCCTAGTCACTAGGCTATTTCGTTATATGAGATACCACTAGGCCCTAGTGGTATCTCATAGTCGTCCATCCAAATGTAATCGAATTCATCAATAAAACTAACCATATTACACAACATATCTATTTTGCTTCTTCGCAAAATCTTAATCTACTAAAGCTATATCCACCAGGTATTTAATCCCAGCTTAGATAAAACGTGACAAAATGCGCTAAGTATACTCCATTAGACGGAGCCGGTTGTACAAGTCTCTAATTAAAAATACTAACAACTGGTTTCAAGTAAGAGTTTACACGTGCAAACACTAGACAATTTTTAAATAAAACCTTCTTGGAAAGACAAAGAACTAGCAAAGAAGAATCCAAACTTTAAAAATAAATACTTTTTTTATTATTAACTGACATTATAAAGAAAAAATTAAGGTTCTCAGTTTGAATTGTATTTAAAAGTATATTATGTATATTTGTTTGTGTACGATTATCTCGCAATTGGCTGAACCGTTTTGGTTTTTGCTACATTTACAAGAGAAGGCTTTAGTATATTGATTAATCGGCTTTAAAAAAAGAGGGATTACAGCCGGTTTTTTAAATCGTTGTTAGTAGTGATGATTCCCTGACTCTGGCTCACGCGTTTGACCGGTCAAATCCGGAAGATTCAGTCGCACCAAACCTAAAAAAAAAAAAAAAAAAAAAAAAAAAAAAAAAAAAAAAAAAAAAAGGTTTTGGCATGCTCTGATCACGTTTCTGCAGTCCTTTTTAGCGTAGGATGCGTGGTTCTGGAGTTATG